TAAAGTCATAATTAGGACAGAGAATGCTCCAAAGGCTGGTTTGGTCATCTGAGATCATTAAAAATGGCTGATCCCTAACAATATGTACAAAATTATAAAATGCAAATAAAAAATATAAACAAGATTTCCTTTTGCAAAGTAATTTTAAGAAAAAAAGCAGGGCCTTGGGGTATTGGTTCTGTTTTCCTCTCCTGTTGCAAATTCACGTTGTGGTTTTGGTTGGGTGGTGAAGAGCGCATGTCATCTGCTGGTGGCACTGCCCAAGGTGGGTGAGCGGGTGGGCGGGCCTCTCTACTGGAAGGTGACCACGTTTAGATTCTGAGACGGGAAGTGGAGGGTGAGTAGTTCACGGTGGCCTTTTATTTTTAGTTTAACTTTTCCTTTTTTGCTGTCCAGTCATCCTCATCGGTCTTCTTCTTGGTATCAATATCATCCTCATCATCGTTAGTTGCCCGTTTGCCTGTAGCTGCCTCAGCCTCCTCATCTTCATCTGCATCCTCTTCCTCACCATCACCTTCCTCCTCCTCCTTTTCCTCACCACCCTCTTCCTCTTCTTCATCTACCTCATTGTCAGCCTCCTGCTCCCCATTTTCCTCTTTAGCACTCCCATTAGCAGGGGGTCTCTTCCATTCTCTTCCTCCACAACTTCCTTCTTCTTTAAGTACTTGGTGGTGATTTCAGAGCTAGTGTCCATGGCCACGTCTGACATAGTGGGGCATGCCAGTGATCCCATACAGTGGGTTAAAAAGGAAACTAGAGTTCAGGGACTGTGGCGATAAAGCTGCCGGAGTCCGTGGCTGCAGAGGAGGTGCGCAGAGGTGGTTGTGGCAGTGGGGAGCTGTACCCAGGAACAATGCAAAGATGGCTTTTCAGAGCAGCCAGTCGAGATGAGAGGGTTTGCTCCAGCATGTTCTCCCCCATGATGAGCTGAGTCACCCCAAAGCATCAGGGCAATCCATGTGATCAGTTATATTTGCTGAACAAATATTTATTAAATAGCCAGGATATGACAGGCTCAGTAATCCCAGGCTTTGGGAACACATGGACACCACCATGAAATTTATATTCCAGAGGAAATTTGGACATCAATCAAATAATGAAGACTAAAACTGTAAGCTGAAAAGGCTTATGTATGATTAATGTGTGTTAAAAGGATTTTCCAGGGTTACTTTTACCATACGTAAGTTTTACCTGCCTAAAAAGTTTGTGTAAGGTGAATAGCTTTTTTTCTTACCCTCTCCCAAACACACACTCTCTCTTTCTCTCTCTCTCTCTCTCTCTTTCTCTCTCTCTCTCTCTCTCTCTCTCTAT